ATTGATAAACCCCTGGCCAGACTTATCCAAAAGAAAAGAGAAATGACCCAAATCAACAAAATCATGAATGAAAGAGGAGAGATCACAACCAACACCAAAGAAATACAAACAATGATAAGAACATATTATGAGCAACTCTATGCCAGCAAATTAGATAACCTGGAAGAAATGGATGCATTCCTAGAGATGTATCAACTACCAAAATTGAACCAGGAAGAAATAGAAAACCTGAACAGACCTATAACCACTAAGGAAATTGAAGCAGTCATCAAAAATCTCCCAACAAACAAAAGCCCAGGGCCAGGTGGCTTCCCAGGGGAATTCTACCAAACATTTAAAGAAGAATTAATACCTATTCTCCTAAAACTGTTCCAAAAAATAGAAATGGAAGGAAAACTTCCAAACTCATTTTATGAGGCCACCATTACCTTGATCCCAAAACCAAAGACCCCATCAAAAAGGAGAATTACAGACCAATATCCTTGATGAACATGGATGCAAAAATTCTTTTTTTTTAAACATTTTTTTAAAGATTTTATTTATTCATTTGAGACTCAGAGATACACACACACACAGAGAGAGAGCATGAGCGGGGGGAGAAGCAGAGGGAGAGGGAGAAGCAGGCTCCCCGCTGAGCCAGGAGCCTGATGTGGGGCTCGATCCCAGGAAGCTGGGATCATGACCTGAGCTGAAGGCAGACGCTTAACCATCTGAGCCACCCAGGCAGCCCAGATGCAAAAATTCTCACCAAAATACTAGCCAGTAGGATCCAACAGTACATTAAACGGATAATTCACCATGACCAAGTGGGATTTATGCCTGGGCTGCAAGGTTGGTTCAACATCCGCAAATCAATCAACATGATACAATATATTAACAAAAGAAAGAACAAGAATCATATGATCCTCTCACTAGATGCAGAAAAAGCATTTGACAAAGTACAGCATCCTTTCTTGATCAAAACTCTTCAGAGTATAGGGATAGAGGGTACATACCTCAATATCATAAAAGCCATCTATGAAAAACCTACAGCGAATATCATTCTCAATGGGGAAAAGCTGAGAGCTTTCCCCCAAGGTCAGGAACGCGGCAGGGATGTCCACTCTCACCACTGCTATTCAACATAGTATTAGAAGTCCTAGCCACAGCAATCAGACAACAAAAAGAAATCAAAGGCATCCAAATCAGCAAAGAGGAAGTCAAACTCTGACTCTTTGCAGATGATATGATACTTTATGTGGAAAACCCAAAAGACTCCACCCCAAAACTGCTAGAACTCATACAGGAATTCAGTAAAGTGGCAGGATATAAAATCAATGCACAGAAATCAGTGGCATTCCTATACACCAACAACAAGACAGAAGAGAGACAAATCAAGGAGTCGATCCCATTTACAATTGCACCCAAAACCATAAGATACCTGGGAATAAATCTAACCAAAGAGGCAAAGGATCTGTACTCAGAAAACTATAAAATACTCATGAAAGAAATTGAAGAAGACACAAAGAAATGGAAAAACGTTCCATGCTCATGGATTGGGAGAATCAACATTGTGAAGATGTCAATGCTACCTAGAGCAATCTACACATTCAATGCAATCCCCATCAAAATACCATCCACTTTTTTCAAAGAAATGGAACAAATAATCCTAAAATTTGTATGGAACCAGAAAAGACCCCGAATAGCCAGAGGAATGTTGAAAACGAAAAGCAAAGCTGGCGGCATCACAATTTTGGACTTCCAGCTCTATTACAAAGCTGTCATCATCAAGAAAGTATGGTACTGGCACAAACACAGGCACATAGATCAATGGAACAGAATCAAGAGCCCAGAAATGGACCCTCAACTCTATGGTCAACTAATCTTTGACAAAGCAGGAAAGAATGTACAATGGCAAAAAGACAGTCTCTTCAACAAATGGTGTTGGGAAAATTGGACAGCCACATGAAGAAGAATGAAACTGGACCATTTCCTTACACCACACATAAATGTAGACTCAAAATGGTTGAAAGACCCAAATGTGAGACAGGAGTCCATCAGAATCCTAAAGGAGAACACAGGTAGCAACCTCTTCGACCTCAGCCGCAGCAACTTCTTCCTCGAAACATCGCCAAGGAGGGGAAGCAAGGGCAAACATGAACCATTGGGATTTCATCAAGATAAAAAGCTTTTGCACAGCAAAAGAAACAGTCCACAAAACCAAAAGACAACCGACAGAATGGGAGAAAATATTTGCAAATGACATGTCAGATAAAGGGCTAGTATCCAAAATCTATAAAGAACTTATCAAACTCAACACCCAAAGAACAAATAACCCAATCAAGAAATGGGCAGAAGACATGAACAGACATTTTTCCAGAGAAGACATCCAAATGGCCAACAGACACATGAAAAAGTGCTCAACATCACTTGGCATCAGGGAAATCCAAATCAAAAGCTCGATGAGATACCACCTCACACCAGTCAGAATGGCTAAAATTAACAAGTCAAGAAAGGACAGATGTTGGCGGGGATGCGGAGAAAGGGGAACCCTCCTACACTGTTGGTGGGAATGCAAGCTGGTGTAACCCCTCTGGAAAACAGTATGGAGGTTCCTCAAACAGTTGAAAATAGAACTACCATATGATCCAGCAATTGCACTACTGGGTATTTACCCCAAAGATACAAATGTAGGGATCCAAAGGAGTACGTGCACCCCGATGTTTATAGCAGCAATGTCCACAATACCAAACTGTGGAAAGAGCCAAGATGTCCATCGACAGATGAATGGATAAAGAAGAAGTGGTATATATACACAATGGAATATTATGCAGCCATCAAAAGGAAAGAGATCTTGCCATTTGCAACGAGGTGGATGGAATTGGAGGGTGTTATGCTGAGTGAAATAAGTCAATCAGAGAAAGACATGTATCATATGACCTCACTGATATGAGGAATTCTTAATCTCAGGAAACAAACTGAGGGTTGCTGGAGTGGTGGGGGGGTGGGAGGGATGGGGTGGCTGGGTGATAGACATTGGGGAGGGTATGTGCTATGGTGAGTGCTCTGAATTGTGCAAGTCTCTTGAGTCACAGATCTGTACCTCTGAAACAAATAATGCAATATGTGTTAAGAGAAAAAAAAGAAGAAGATAGCAGGAGGGGAAGCATGAAGGGGAATGAATTGGAGGGGGAGACCAACCATGAGAGACAATGGACTCTGAAAAACAAGCTGAGGGTTCTAGAGGGGAGAGGGGTGGGGGGATGGGTTAGCCTGGTGATGGGTAGTAAAGAGGGCACATTCTGCGTGGAGCACTGGGTGTTATGCACAAACAATGAATCATGGAACACTACATCAAAAACTAATGATGTAATGTATAGTGATTAACATAACAATAAAAAAAAGATTAAAAAAAGGAGAAAAGCAGAGCACCGTCAAAGCTGTCAAGGAGGAAGAAATTAGGGTGCCTGGGTGGCTCAGTCGTTAAGCATCTGCCTTCGGCTCAGGTCATGATCCCAGGGTCCTGGGATCGAGCCCCGCATCAGGCTCCCTGCTCCGTGGGAAACCTGTTTCTCCCTCTGCCTCTCCCCCTTACTCAAATCCGCACTCTCTCTCTCTCTCCGTCAAAAAAATAAAAAAATCTTTAAAAAAGAAAGAAGAAAGAAAATATGGAGAACAAAGGAGTCAACACTGCAGGTGTCAGGGAGGTTAAATGGAGTGACCGATAGAGCCTTTGGATCATTTAACCAGAGCGCTTCCAGCATTTGAATAGTGGGGGATGGGCAAGCATGGGCAAGCAGCGATGATGGCACACTATTTTTCCAAGGAATTTGGTTGTGAAAGGACAAAAAGGTAGCTAAAAAAGAGGTACATAGAGTCAAGGGAGGATTTATTTTTATGTAGGAAGAGCTCAAGCCTATTTATAGGCCACTAGGAGGCATCCGGTCTAGATGGAGGGAAAAATTAGTGGGCACGTCTCCTCTAGGGGTGCAGGGAAGAGGGTGTCTCAGAAGGGCAAAGGGATCCCTCTGCACCTGACTCTGAAGGGAAAGGAAGTGAGGGCCAGGTGAGCACGGTCTTCCCATAGGTGTTTTCTCTGGGAAGTAGTAGGAGGCCAGGTTATCTGTCGGGGAGGGATGAGGAGTGACTGGGGGCAAGAGCGGGGAAAGGAAGAATGTACAGAGCCAGAGGCACATGCAGGTAGGGCGGGAATGGTGCTGAGGACACAGCTGAGGACAGGAGGCCCGAATGAGTGACACCTGCAATCTGCTAGGCGGTTTTCTTAAGTTGAGAGGTGAGGGAGGGCCAATGAGTGGGTGAAATGCCTGCTTGATACAGTTGTTAGGAGTCTTATGGACGGTGCTGGGGAAGGGCAAGGAGTGGAGGTCTTGAGGAGGCTGCAGGAATGATGCTTCCATGATGTCAGTTGGATGGAGGATGGGGTGCCAGGAAAAGGCAGGGGGTCTCAGTGAGATAGAAGATATCCTGGGGGTGGCTTGGTGAGGACGAAAGTGGAAGCATTGGGAAATTGTACCAAGAGATGGACGTATGGGTAGTGAATTTTCTAGAAAAAGTGACGTTGAGGTCCAGGTGTGGCCACGGAAGTGATTATGAAAGGTTGTCTAGGGTCATGGGTCTGCGCTACTGGACTGACAGCTCACACGAAGGCCAGCTAGGACATGGAATTGAGACCGTGAGCCAATAGTCAAAGTCCTGGGTGGGTGACGGAGCAGGATGGAAAGGACTGTGAAGTTAACAACAAGGAAGATGGGAGCCAGAGAGCATGAATCTCAAAGGAGATGGGTTTGCTTTTATTCTTGCTCTTCTGTGGTCTAGATCAAAGCAGCCTCTTGCTTCAGGATTCAACCTGCAGAAAGCAGGCCACCCAAATGCCACCCTGGTATCTCACTGCAGAGAATGAGGCTGAACCTAAGGTGGTTGCATCTTGAAGCTTTTCTATACAAAATTAACAATTCAAAACTCTTATCGTTCTAAAATTTCTTCTATTTCCTGCAATTCAGGTTTGTTTATCATTCAATCCTCAAAGCACACTGGTGGCTACTGGGAGCATGGACACAACGGCCAAACTGTGGGACATTCAGAATGGAGAGGAAGTGTTCACTTTAACAGTACGTGCATAATGTCACCAGCTTCGAGGGTTTTGTATTTTCCCTAGCCATTGCTCAGCATAAGCCTATTATTTGAGTTTGTTTTTATTCATATTCTTATTACAAAATGAATTCTATGTCAGAAGGTATTTTTGAGCTATTGGTTTTCAGACTGCAGTGAAAAGAGTTGTCCCAGTTGGTTTGCTGGCTTTTCCTAAAGACTTTGATGGGGGAGCTGAGGAGGGCACATGGGCTTTTTTATTTTGACTAGCTTCCTTCTGTAAGCCATACTACGGACAGCTTAAATCCTAGCACCATCTATCTGGCATAAAGCCAAGTAGGCGGAGGCTAGCACTTTCTGGAAGAGGTAGAACTGGAGAAACTTGCCAGAAGATTCCCTAAAACAATAACCGTTAACACTCTCATCCACCACCCGCTGGTCTCAAAAGCCTCCTGTATTACAAAGTCTGAAATGACAAGGGGTAAGTGGCATGAGGAGAAAGGCTAAAGGGCGCTGCCCAGAGAGCAAGAGTTGGTGGTGTATCTCCACCGGGGTCTCTCTCTGTCCCCACCACGTGCCCAGCACCTTCCTCCCACATGCTCTCTCTGCTTCTTCCCACCCCAACCTAAACAACTGGACACACGCAGGGGGATTCTCTAGGCCAATCAGTGGGAACAGCTGGGTGGGAAATCCAATTCTTTTTTTTTTATTCTTTCAAATTATAAATGGATTTCAAATTAGGACCCCTTTCCTAGGAGAGCTTTTCCTAAGAAAGTAAAAAAAAAAAAAAAAGGACTGGAAAGAGAGAAAAAGCACTCTTTTTAATAAACACCAAGGGATTTTCTGAATTCAGAGTGCCAACCTTAATTAACATAAGTTTACTCTTTTGATCTTTGTTCTCATCATTTCTGTGGGTCACTGTCTCTTCACTACCTCGTCTTTCAGACAGATGCCTAACGGTCTTGGAAAGGATGTATCTCCCTCGGCACACCTGCACCTGTCTGCTGCCAGACAACACATTGGTCTTGCGTGTTCGGAATTTTCATGTTCAGCTACATTTAATGTTTGCCATTTAGAATCAACCAGAAGTTTGATGTGCAAATGAACGTTTTCACTATTGAAAAAAGTAATGTTAATTTGCCAAAATAATTCGGGAAACAAGGGATATACTGTAAGCAGAGTCTGCTGCAGAGAGGGGCTTCCTCCCATTGTCTCAGAATGTTTGATGCATCGGTCCTAGACAGTGACCAAGTGAAAGTCAGGCCAAAGGCCAGATATTTATTAACCTATTTTATGTTAAATCATTGTAAGATGGGCGCCTGGGTGGCTTGGTTGGTTAGGGGCTGCTTTTGGCTCAGGTTATGATCTCAGGGTCCTGGCATGGAGCCCTGTGTGTTGGGCTTTCTGCACAGCGGGGAGCCTGCTTCTCCCTCTCTCTCTGCCCCTCCGCACCCCGCTCTTGCGCACTGTCTCTCAAATAAATAAAATCTTTAAAAAAATTGTCATAAGAATATCCTTTTTTTAAGTTAACTTTATTTCACAAACTTGCCTATCACCTATTGTTAACCCGTAAAGCCTACAACCTTTTTTTTTTAATAAAAGACTTATTTATTTTAGAGAGAGAGACAGACAGAGAGAGAACAAGAAGAGGAGGGGCAGAGAGAGAGAGAGAGAGAGAGAGACAAGCAGACTCCCTGCTGAGCGGGGACCCCCCCCCCTGCGGGGCTGGATCTCAGAACCCTGAGATTAAAACCTGAGCCAAAACCAAGAGTCAGACACTTAACCTTAACAGACTGAACCACCCAGGTGCCCCAGCCTTTTTTTTTTCTTTTTTCTTTTTTTGCATACAGCTGTTTTAAAAGTGTTTTCAAGACAATGTAAAAGAAGCTCTCTGATTTCCGAAATCATGTCTTCCTATCCATTAAAACAAACAAACAAAACCCAGTTTTATTTAGTTTTACTAAGTTAAATGGACTTGATTTAGTGTATAATTCAACTTTTAGTAAATTTATGAAATTGTGCAACCTTCACCAAACTCTAGTATTCAAAATTTCCCCAAAAAGATACCTGTGCCCATTTGCGGTCTCTCCCTATTACCACCCCCAGCCAACTACTAATCTCTTTTTTCCCTATAGAGTTTTTCCTTTTCTAGCATTTTCTTTTAAACTGTGACATTGTGCATTTGTAGAGATTGTTTTTCTGCAGGTAATGCATGATGACATCCACTCTCTTTCTAGGGACATTCTGCTGAAATCATCTCTTTGTCCTTTAACACCTTGGGAAACAGAATCATCACAGGATCTTTTGATCATACTGTTGCAGTGTGGGAAGCTGATACTGGAAGGTATTCTCCTTTTTTAAGGATGTTTTAATTTGGATCAGAGGGTTAAGACCACCGTCTTTGCTGTTCACTAGTTCAATCTTGTATCTATTAAATGTGCTTTGGACTCTATAGGAATAGGATGCACTGAAAATAAATGAATTCATTATTTAATGATATTTCTGATCCAGAAAAAAAATGTGTGTTATCTTGGAATTCTGAGCAAATAATGCCACACAGAAACATAAAAGGAGAATGTTAATAATAGCCTGGGTGTATGGCTATTATTTGTTCCAGGTACTGTGTAATCAAATTTCAATGGCTTGTCATTATGGCAGGCATGGATATCATGAGTAAATAAAATTATGGCTAATTTTCCAAATTAAATTTAGTTCAACAACTTCAATTTCCTTCCTAATTATTTTGGGTTCTAGTTGCTAAGAAGTTAACTAAATTAGACTATTTGCGTTGGAAAGCTCTACCTTGGACTTGCCTGCGTCTTTTTTTTTAAATTTTTTATTGTTATGTTAATCACCATACATTACATCATTAGTTCTTGATGTAGTGTTCCATGATTCATTGTTTGTGCATAACACCCAGTGCTCCACGCAGAACGTGCCCTCTTTAATACCCATCACCAGGCTAACCCATCCCTCCACCCCCCTCCCCTCTAGAACCCTCAGTTTGTTTTTCAGAGTCCGTCGTCTCTCATGGTTGGTCTCCCCCTCCGATTTCCCCCCCTTCATTCTTCCCCTCCTGCTATCTTCTTCTTTTTTTTTCCTTAACATATATTGCATTATTTGTTTCAGAAGTACAGATCTGTGATTCAACAGTCTTGCACAATTCACAGCGCTCACCATAGCACATACCCTCCCCAGTGTCTGTCACCCAGCCACCCCATCCCTCCCACCCCCACCACTCCAGCAACCCTCAGTTTGTTTCCTGAGATTAAGAATTCCTCATATCGGTGAGGTCATATGATACATGTCTTTCTCTGATTGACTTATTTCACTCAGCATAACACCCTCCAGTTCCATCCACGTTGTTGCAAATGGCAAGATCTCATTCCTTTTGATGGACTTGCCTGCATCTTGATAGAGGGGCTAAGTTCCAGGGGTTGCTACAAGATGGATACACCAAGAAATAGGGAGAAGGAAGGGCCCTTCAGACATTTGATGGGTAGTTTCTGAACTACCAAGGGGTCCACTGGTCTGGTATAAGAATACTTCCAGAATTTCAGACCAACTGTATTATTTTTTACCCATGGCTTTCTGAAGTCTTAACTAATGTTATTTTTGAATGCTTCAAATGTAAGTATATTTTTGCCAAAGTGAAATTAGTAGCCTACTTGACTGTTTTTGAGTTATACTACAACTATCATTGTTTGTCATCAAAGATATTATTTGGTAAAGAACAAAATTTTGACTCTCACACCAATGGACTTGACGTCATTATTTGTGCACATATGCTGAAGCAAGACGTCTTTCACCAGTGTGAATCCTTTCCATTTTGTAGGAAGGTGTATACCTTAATCGGGCATTGTGCTGAAATTAGCAGTGCTCTATTCAACTGGGATTGCTCTCTGATATTAACTGGCTCTATGGACAAGACCTGCATGGTGAGCTCAAGAAATATCTTTGCTTTACAGTTCTCCTGTGTGCACTTTTTACGGTGTCAGACAGTCATTGCAACATTACCTCATCTCAAAGGTGCTGTAAAATTAGGATGTTAATTTATAAATAATTGGTATTTTTAAATGTTAAGTTTCTGATCCCCCAGGTTTAAAAGAATTATGATAGAGTGAAACCATGTTAATTGAATCAAATGTATTACAACATCTTATTTTAAAAGACATGTTATTTTTCTTTAATGTCTCTCTGTTCATCTGTTAAACTTTGGTTAGAGTGAATCTCAAGGAGTCTCAATACAATATTTCCCTGCCTTTAAATTTCTGTTGCTAAGAGCTTAGGCTCTGGAATTAATATTTGATTACATGTATTATAACCTTAATGCACTTTTCATTCTCTAGCATTATAGTTTCAGATCAAGCTCCTTATCATTCAATGACCTTTTTATGAAAAGAGGACATTTTCACTCCAATCAGTGAAGCACGCACTTTGAGATTTTTCCTAATATAGGGGCAGATTTGCACTATCCATTCTAAATGTCTGTCTCTGGTCTTCTCTTTGTCGAAAGTGTGCCTTGTGAGATGGTTGACTGTGGTCTCTTGTCATGAATCCAGGTAAATTTAATGGAACATGTGAAAATTATACACATGACCTTGGCACAGGTTATTCAGCTAGCCATAAGTATGTCATGGGCCTACTTCTTCCCATTTTTGCACTTTAGACAGGAAGTCATGGTCACCTTCTGTTTCTGTTGCAGCTGTGGGATGCCACAAACGGAAAATGTGTGGCCACGCTGACAGGCCACGATGATGAAATACTAGACAGCTGTTTTGATTACACTGGAAAACTTATTGCAACTGCTTCAGCCGATGGTAGGTCATCTGTTCATACATTTAATTTGTTTGATCAACATGTATAATTCTACACTGTAGGTCATCTACCTGATGACCAGCTGTGAGAGAAACTACATCTGCCTCATCTCTGTGATGTTGGTCATTACACTCTGTCAGTATCATATTCTTGGTAACCACAGGTTATAATGTCTGCGTCATCTCCTTGACAACCACATCTGATGTTATCCCAGGCCTTTGCATCTTCACATCCCCTGGGTAACTATATATAATGGTATATTCTGGGTCATCTCCCTAATCATGCATTATGCTATACCGTGTCGACCTCGTCAACTTGACCGCCATCCATGGAGCTATAATAAATCTGCATTATCTCCTTTATACCATATGTGCTGCATGTAACACATCTTTGTGATGAACATATGTGATGCTATGCTATACATCATGTTCTTGCTTACCACTTATCTACACTGGGTCTGCATCATCTTACTGGTAACTGTGAGCTGGTAGTACACTACGCGTGCCTCAGTTCATTGAAGACCACAGATGATGCTACAATACATCTATGTCACTTCGCTGTTGACCATGTATGCTATTCTGTTATGCCCACCTCATCCCTCCAGGACACATGTTACATGCTGTATCTACTCCAGCTCTGGGTCACCAAGCAAGATTAGGATGTTATGTATCATCATCATCCTGATGACCATGCATGATAATACACCATACTCAAATTTTCTTAAAAACCATGTATGATATTACACTCTACCTATATCATCTCCTCGATTGCTGCATATGATGTGTACTATGTCAGCATCATCTCCTTGATAACCATGTGTGCCGTGATACTAGAACTCATCTTGATGACAAATATATGTGATGCTACACTGTATCTGTGACATTTCACTGAAAACCCCGTATAATGCTATGTGATGTCTGTATCATCTCATTGACAACCATCTGTATTGGTATACTACATATGCACTATGTCCTGGATGATAATTTATGATAGTAAACCACAGGTCATCCTCATGATAACTATGTATTCCTGACAAGCATGTAAGAGGCTACACAACTTCTGCCTCATTCACTGGCCCCTCTGTCATTATATCATATCCATGACCACCACATGTGATACTATGTCTGCACCTTGACAACCACATGGGATGCTCCATCTACACCATCTCCTTGGCACCCATATGTGATGTTATACTAAGTCTATGTCATCTCATGCCATCACCCAACCATGTGTGATGCTGTTCTAGGAGTCATCTCCTCGATAATAAAGTGTGATGCTACACTATGCTACATGTCTTATTCCTGAAGACTGCAGATAATTCTACACCACCCCTGTGTCATCGTCATCCACCTAATGGTCATATATGGAGCTGTGCTAAGTCTATGTTATCCCTTTAATGACCATGTATGATGCTATATTGTGTCTATGTCATATACCTGACTGCTATGTTTTAATTTATAGTCCTTGTCATTCTCCTTAAAATCATGTATGATGCTACACTATATCTTCATCTAATGCTTTATAACCATGTATGATGCTCTACCATACCTTTGCCATTTCCTAGAAATTTATGTGTGACACTGTAATATTTTCACCTCATCACCTTGACAAGCACGTCTTCAAGGTCTTCTATGTCCGGATCCCTTCATTTACAAAACCGCATGATTCCATGTTCTATCTGGATTATATCCTTGAAGTCTGCTTATCACACTCTCCTTTAATGTCATCTCCTTGAATGCTATGTGTGATGTTATCGTGTCGTCTCCATGGTAGGCTCGTATGTTATGCTCTCTGTGCCCACAATTAATGAGGTTATGTGATGTTAAAGTGTGTCACTTCACTGACCTCCATTTATGATGCTATGCTCTGATTGCCTCCCCTCTCTGACAACTGTTCATGATGCTATAACTTATATCATATCCTGATAACCACATCATCTCCCTGAAAGTCATTAAGATGTTATGCTATTTCTGTCTTATCTCCTTAAAAACATGTATGGTGTTATACTATGTCTGTATCATGTTCTTCACAACGACATCTACATCCTCTTCTTGAAAATCATGTATGATGCTCTGTTATGAGAGTTTCCTCAATTACCACACATGAGGCTACATAATATAGGCATCATATCCTAGAAAACCATGCTATGTTATGTGAAACCTCCAAGACAAAAGTATGTGTGATGCTCTACTACTACTATCTCATCCCTTTAACAACCCTGTAAGATGCGATAGGATGTGACTAGATGATTTCTGTATCATGTCCACGATAATCACTACACCATGTCTGTGCCATTTGGAAAACAGTATGATGATACATTATTTCTGTGTCATTTTCTTATTTTTATGCTGACATCTATATGTCTCATATTCCTGATAAGCACCTATGACATTGCAATATGTCTGTGTCAAGTCCATTCTATCCACATATGATGCGAATTATGTCTATGTCATCACTCTGATGTCCACGTATGACACTACACTATGTGTCATCTCCCTAATAATGTATGTCACCATGCTCTATTTGCATCATTTACCCAACAACCAAAGTGATGCTACACTACTTCTGGGTCATCTCCTTGACAACCATGTATGAAGTTATACTATGTCTCATCGTGTCTCTGACGATGGATGAAGCTACATGCTATGTTTGCGTATTTTTCTAATAGATGCTCTATTATGGGTAGTCCCCTGACAATCATGTCTGATGCTCTGAGTATCTGTGCCATCTGGTCCACCATGTATGATGCTACAGTATGTCTGTGGTAAGCACATGTAATGCTATCGTGTGATGGCAGCATCTCTTGTATAACCGAATTCATTTGCCAGGGCTGCCATAGCAGAGTACAACAGACTAAGTGGCTTAAACAACAGGAATTTCTTTTCTCACAATTCTGGAAGCTACAAGTTTGAGATCAGGGTGTTGGCAGCCTTGGTTTCTTCTGAGGCCTGCAGGTGGCAGTTTTCTCCCTGTGTCTTCATGTGGTCTTCCCTCCGCATGTGTCTGTGTTCTCACCTCTTATTCTTATAAGGGCACCAGCTATTTTGGGTTAGGGCCCACTCTCATGACCTCATGTTACTCTATCACCTCATTTTCTTTAAAGGCTCAAACTCCAAGTAAGTCAACTTCTAAGGTACTCGGGGTTAGGAATTCAACATAGGAGTTTTGTGGGGGACACAATTTGGTCCATAACACCATGTATGACATATGGCATGTTTGCATTTTCTGCCTGAAGGCTTCTCTCCTTGCAAATCCCAGGATCTGACATGTCTGCATCATGTCTTTGATAATCATATGTGAGTCTATGCTGTAGATCATCTTTCTGACAACCACATATCATGCTACACTGTGTATCATCTTTTAACCTGCTCTATATGATGCTACACTGCGACTTCCCACTGTCCTGATAGCTGTGGATGGTGCCGTACTATGGGTAAGCTCCCTGATGACAGTGAATGATGCTTCATGATGTCTGTATCATATCCTTGACAAATACATATGATGCCACACTCTGTATCAAATTTAAGTATGTGTCATGGTATGTCATTACTACTGAATGTTTCGATAAATACATCATGCTCTGCCATTATTCATGTCTTTGACAACCTCCTAGGGATATATGCTGTATATGCTATACTATGTTTATGTCATCTCCTTGATAACCATGTGGAGTGCTACACTATTTTGCATCATCTCCCAGACGACAGTGTGTGATGATATAGTATGTGTCATATCCATGATGGCCTTCTATGGTGCTACAACATATCTGTGCCATCGGTTGATGATCCATTATGTTGCTACACTGGGTATGTGCCACCTTCCTGTAGTCCACAGATGACTCTACACAACATCTCCATTATTTGTTTGAGGTCATGTATGATGCTACATTGTGTGTTTTCATCTCCTTGACAACCACACATCATGCTCCACTATGTCTACATCATCTCCGTGATGACCACCTGTGACACTCTATTATATCTGTGTCACCTCCCCATGAATGCATATCATGCTGTACTATGATTATGTCATCACCATGTCAGCACACTTAAGCCTACACTGTGTCTAAGTCATCTCTTTGATAATCACACATGATGTTTCATTATGTCTAATTCCTTTAGTGACCAACCCTATGTGACGCTACATCATGTCCATGTAAACTTAACAGCCATTTAAGAAATTCTAGCAAAAATGGGATGCTTTTTTCAGACATGACTTGTTCTTTGTTTGCCTGCATTTGTTCCTTGTGACTAACATATTGTTAAGTAGTCACATATCCTTTGTTATAATCAGTTGTAGAATTTTGCCAGTGATTCATTTTAATTACAGTCTTTATTCCACCTTTGTCTCCCTTTTCAAAATTACATTTGCATGCTGTTCCCTTACTCACTAGGACTTTTCAAAGGTGATTCTTTGATCACACATAAAGTTCTTTCTCTATCCTGGAATATAAATGCCCTGAATTTGGAGAACTCTATCTTTCAAAGTGACTACCTTCTTTATCATCTTCTTACAGAGCTTAACTTTTTAAAATCATCCCTCAATGGTAATTAATCTACCCTTTTTATTTTAAATATCATTCTCACTTATATAAAAAAAAATCCATCCAACAAGAATAGGGAAGCTACTTTGTGCCAGGAATTGTTTTAGGAACATGGGCTATATCAATGAACAAAAGAGAGAGGAATTCCTTCCCTCGTGCAGCTATATTTTGGAGGGGGAGACAATGAAGAATATCATATATGTGTTTTCCATAGAATGTTAGAATATAGAGGATGTTAGATTATAAAGAATGTTAGGAGTTTGTCAGCACTGTGGGTGGAGAAACAAGCAGGGTCTGCGGATCAGGATGCTGAGAGATGGATGAGAATTAACTGCAAGTTCAATAATTCTTTTGTTTTCTCTATCATCTTATATGTCCCCTAGCAGTGATCCCATTCTTTCCTTGTTCAATAAGACATTATTTCAAAAAAAAAAATTTTTTTTTTTTTTTGGTATGTTTTGTGAACCTCTTCTCATTCTGCATCTTCTAAGAAGTCTTGATGTTTGGAAACATCTTGTTTACTTAACTCTGCTGCTTGCTTCTCATTCCCTACTTAAAACTGGATCCATTCAACAGGGGTTAGTTGAAGCTGTGAAGTGACATCTGTTTCTTCACATTTATCACCTTTTACTTCCTCATTTGAATTACTCTCAAGGCTGCATTATTTTTTGGTGTCTTATTCATATTTCTATCTTTTAAAAATATAGTTTTAGGCGATATTTCTGTGTTTTCTGAAGTTTAAAAATGCTTTTGAGAAATTTGGAGAATTACTGTAGGCAGGATATTCATTTTTGTTGTATTAACACATTCTTTTTTTTAAAGATTCATTTATTTGTTTGAGAGAGAGAGAAAGAGAGCAAGCGAAGGTGGAAGGGGCATTGGGAGAGAATCCCGACCAGACTTCCTGTTGAGCACAGAGCCCAATATGGGGCTCGATCTCACGACCCTGAGATCATGACCTGAGCTGAAACCAAGAGTTGGACACTCAACCGAATAAGCCACCCAGCCGCCCCAATATTAACACATTCTTTAAAAAAAAAGATTTATTTATTTGAGAGAGAGAGAGCATAAGCAGGGGGGAGGGGCAGAGGAAGAGGGAGAAGCAGACCCCCGCTGAGCAGGGGGCCCTATGTGGGGCTCGATCCTAGGACCCCGGGATCATGACTTGAGCCAAAGGCAGACATTTAACTTACTGAGCTACCCAGGCACCCTATTAACACAATCTTAAAACACACCGGTCACTTTAAGGCTTTGGAATGTCCGACTAGCAAGGTTTATATTTTTAGTCATATTAATTGTAAAATAGCAATTTTCATCTATTTCTTCCTGAAGTTGACATTGTCAGAAGGGCAAGTAAAAAATTTACTGAGATGTTTTGCTCTTTTCTGAATGAAAATTAAGTAACCAAAATTCTCTATCGTTACTAATTTTGCCTCTATGTAATTTTGTAATTGCAATAAGAGAGCAGCCTTCATCCGGCCAGAAAAATTTTAACTTTTTCTCTGACAACAATTTTACTGCCACTGTTTTTCTCCTTCTACATTTATTTAACTCCTCCATTCCTTAATTCTAAGGAAATGTCTATACCATTTCTTCCTTCCTTCCACCCACCCATCCATCCATCCATCTTTCCATCCACCCATCCATCCATCCATCCACCCACCCATCCCTCCATCCACCCATCCATCCATCCATCCATCCACCCATCCATCCATCCATCCACCCATCCACCCATCCACCCATCCATCCTCTCCATCCATCCATCCATCCATCCACTCTATCCACCCATCCATCCACCCACCCATCCATCCATCCACCCATCCTCTCTATCCACCCATCCATCCACCTATCCATCCACCCATCCATCCACTCTATCCACCCATCCATCCACCCACCCATCCATCCATCCATCCATCCACTCTATCCACCCATCCATCCACCCATCCATCCATCCATCCACCCATCCACTCCATCCACCCATCCATCCACCTATCCATCCACCCATCCATCCACTCCATCCATCCATCCACCCATCCTCTCCATCCACCCATCCATCCATCCATCCATCCATCCATCCATCCATCCAGCATCCACTTATTGAGTGTCTACTGGGACCTTGGCACTTCTGGGCCCTGAGGATACAAGAGGGAACAAACCATTCTACCAGCTCTTTCTGTAGAAAGGCTTCCCTGGTGCCTGTTCTTTGCCCAGCGAGTAGCAGTTGTTGCTCCATTTCAGAAAGGCCTCTCAAACCTTCTGTAACCTTAGACTCCTATTTGGTGTGTGATGCTGGTCTGGCTGCTTATTTCATCGCCTGCCTCTCAAAACTTGTTTTGATTCTCCCTTTTCCTGTTACAAACTTTTTCTTTGTGGATTCCTTCCCCCCACCTTTTCTACCTTGGAACCCATCATTTCTTCTAATAAGTTCGGGGCTAGAGGGGCACCCTGCTTCCCCTCTTCTCCTGCAGTGGCGCCAGCTTACATTTGCAGTTTTAGGTGGTGGCTCTCACCACAGGCAAGAAGACAAGCAGCCACAGAGCCTGTATGTCAGAGGAATAGATAGTCTATAATTCAGGGCACATGGCTCAAAGTTCTGTATTTCAGATGCATTCATATGTGTTTCCGCTCTTTCAAAAAGGAACAGCAAGAGTTTTCAGTGCAGCCACAAGAAAATGCATTACCAAATTGGAAGGCCATGAAGGCGAAATTTCAAAGGTGAGTTGCTTTCTCATCTGGAGCAATTTATTTAGTTTTAAAAACATAGCATGCTTAGCGTAAATAGGTCTGTTGGCACTAGGGCTTGTCCAGTTATCTCACTCTTTCTAGAAATCAGCTACCTAAAAACTATATTTTTAAGTGTGACCTCAAACTTAGCATGATAAAAGATTCTTAAAACCTTTTAAAAAGTATAAAACAGCATTTTTTCTCAGCCATCAGAAAAAGATGGAGTTCACTGAAAATACCTATTAAAGCTATTTAAGAAACTTACGAAGTGCTTTTCCTGATCCTAGCAGACACACAAGTATATTTTATGCAAAAAAACATGCTGTGCAGCAAGTATCAAGTGTTTCATAAATTAGATGCAATTGAGGAAGTATTTCCTGGAACTGTTTAACACTTAACAGAGTTGAAAATGACCTACTTTGAAACTTCAAGGCTGTAGCTTAGGATTTTGTCTAAGCTCCTCCCACAAGCTGATTCCCAGAGCAGGGCCTTCCAATCTGTGATCTGAGGTTTGGCTGTGTCCTCCAAAAACTCTGGAAAGGCTGGGACTTGATGACTCTCAGCTCCCACCCAGCTCAGCCCAGTTCCTTGGTCTCATACCTGAGATCACATTTGCTCCTTCCTTTTAAAGAATCAGTTTGATGGCTTCAGGTCCTGGAATGTTGCCCCTGGATCCTGGAACTGCCTCCTGTTGTACCCTCCCTCCCCCTCCCTCCTCTGCACCTGCTGCTGGTGGCCAGGAGCCCCTGCCCTTCAAGGTTGGTCTCTGAGGCCACACAGAACACATCTCTTCCATAGGCTAGGAGGCATTAGGGCCTGGCAGGAAGGGAAATAGGGAAGTGTGGATGTGGGAGACAGCCTGGGAAGAGAGCCCAGGCCATGTTGCTGAGTGATTGGTCTGATAACCATTGACATGCATGATGTGGCCCACTCAACAAGCACACATGTTTTTGTGTATATAAAGAGTTCTCACACTCTATATTGCATTTTAGGCTTGTGTGATACACTACTTATTGAATTGCCGTTCAGCAGTGGCATTTCTATGGTATACAAAGTTAAGGTATTCATTCATTCATTCAGCAAATGCTTTTTTTTTCTTTTTTTTATTATGTTATGTTAGTTATCATACAGTACATCATTAGTTTTTGATGTAGTGTTCCATGATTCATTGTTTGCATATAACACCCAGTGCTCCATGCAATACGTGCCTTCCTTAATACCCATCACTGGGCTAACCCATTCCCCCACCCCTCTGCCCTCTAAAACCTTCAGTTTGTTTCTCGGAGTCCATAGTCTCTCATGGTTCATCTCCCTCTCTGATTTCCCCCCCTTCATTTTTCCCTTCCTTCTCCTAATGTCCTCCATACTATTCCTTATGTTCCACAAATAAGTGAAACCATATGATAATTGACTTTCTCTGCTTGACTTATTTCACTTAGCATAATCTCCTCCAGTCCCATCCATGTTGATGTAAAAGTTGGGTATTCATCCTTTCCGATGGCGAGTAATATTCCATTGTATATATGGACCACATCTTCTTTATCCATTCGGCTGTTGAAGGGCATCAAGTCAAAAAATGGGCAGAAGACATGAACAGACACTTCTCAAAAGAAGACATACAAATGGCTAACAGACACATGAAAAAATGTTCATCATCATTAACCATCAGGGAAATCCAAATCAAAACCACATTAAGATACCACCTCACACCAGTTAGAATGGCAAAAATTGACAAGGCAAGAAACAACACATGTTGGAGAGGTTGTGGAGAAAGGGAAACCCTCTTACACTGTTGGTGGGAATGCAAGTTGGTACAGCCACTTTGGAAAACAGTGTGATGGTGCCGCAAAAAATTAAAAATAGAGCTACCCTATGACCCAGCAGCTGCATTTTACCCCAAAGACACGGATGTAGTGAAAAAAGGGCCATGTGCACCCCAATGTTCATAGCGGCAATGTCCGCAATAGCCAAACTGTGGAAAGAGCCCAGATGCCCTTCAACAGACAAATTGATCAGCAAATGCATTTTGAGAGCTTTCCTTGTGCTAGGCATTGTACTGGGGACACAGGGACAAAAAAAGCCATGCTCTTGAGCCTTGTCCTCATCAAACCTTCAGTTATGGAGGAGGTGACCCAAATCATTGTCTTACGATGATTTAGAGAGGGTTATAAGTGTGGCGCCCAAAGGAATAGTGAACCAACCATTTCCTTTGGCAGTCGCTCAGATACCGCTTGGCACACAGGAGGCACTCAGGACATATTTATACAACGTGCTTTACTTTGAGTGGCAGTAGAACGAAAGTTTCCCCACCATTCACTCGTTCTGTGGCACAGACTGAAAGACAATCTATATGCCTCTGATGACAGAAAGTTGGGTTATAGGGATAATATGGAGGCTTGGGTGTGAAGGAACCTGACTTGTGTTCTCATCCACACCAGGGCTGTCTCTTTGTTTGTATGGAGAGACTTGCATCTTGAGTCTTTGGAAAGAATCTAGGCGGGGAATACTCGAATTAGAAGGGAGCTTTGGTCTTTATCCTTAGAACTGTGGGGTGGGGGTGGGGTGGCCAGTTACACTTTTCTGTCTAGACTTTAATTTTCATGTATTAGTCCCTGTAATTCACCCCTCCCCCAAGAAGGAACTGTTCTATGTAAGAATAAATGTCAAGCTGGGAAGATGACAGGTGCTTAGTCATGTCCCACTTTTGCCGATTAAAAATCTATCAGGAATCAAATTACACAAACCTGTCATTTTCCTTTCTCTCTTGTAGATTTCTTTCAACCCCCAAGGGAATCATCTTCTGACTGGCAGCGCTGACAAAACAGCTAGAATCTGGGATGCTCAGACTGGTCAGTGCCTCCAGATTCTCGAGGGGCACACGGATGAGATCTTTTCATGTGCTTTCAACTATAAAGGCAACATAATCATTACAGGTATGGGAGAGAGAAACACATAGACTTGGTTTTCTTTTTCAGTTGGCTGAGTTTCCAAGCTGAATACCAAAAGGATTTTACTGCTCTCTCTGCCCCCTCTTGCAGGGTCCCTGGTGCATGCCCATGCTTCCCACACCCGTGATTTAATTTTAGTTGCATGTGGGACCACAAGGGTGAGCTCTGACTGTACGGCTTTGTTGAATTTTGAATTTTAGTTGCTCTTAACAAAGAATTCAGTAGCCTGCCTTACTGGTTACCACTTCTCCCCCGGCAGTGCCCGCCGAGTGGTTACGATTCAGTTGTCAGTAAGTGTTAGTAACTAGAACAGGCTGGGACACAAGTTCTGCACCGTCGGACTTCCAGCCCATGAGAGATTTATTCTTTGAACTCAGTTGTTTTCTCCTTGGATGCCCCCTGCTAACACCTTAATGTTTGGGGGAAGAGAACCCATATTGAGCATTTTTTTCAACCATTAACAATTTGTTGTGAATTAATTATATTAGAGATGTTTTATAAGAACGGGCCTGAGAATAGGTTAACTTTGTGGAAAGGGACAAGAGTACGGGGTGAGGCTAGTGCGGTGCCTCCGGAAGCAGGCCCTCGCAGGGCGTGGGGGGGAAAGCTGTGTGGGGTAGGGGCGCCCTAAGAGGGCACAGAGGGCAGAATCTGCCTAAGCCCCAGTGATTCTTAACGTGTTGCGCAGTTTCAGAATTGCTTAATTGGTCCAATAAGTTACATGTCCCATGTGCAAGGTTGACTTTCTATATTGGCTGATTAAGTAGCTTCTTAGTCATTTAACTTCAGGGGTGTTGAGAATAATCTCCCTTTTTTGCCCTAAAAACCTCATGTTAGTATGTAATTGTGGATAATTTCTAAAATTACGGATTACTTTCTGGAGTTTATGATTTGCCTGCGTCACTAAAACGTGGGCACTCTTAAGGCAGTACCATGATAACCCGCATATTTTATTGTGAGCACAATGTCAAATCCTTTCCCATGACGAGGAAAGAGGTGGGAGGCCGTGATGGGGGCACCAGAGGCTCGTGCAGGAAGCTGATGGCAAGTAAGGAAAAGGAAGATGGGCTGTTTTGTCAGAGGACCAGCCTTTTCTAGTCTACATGGTTCATGTTAGACCAGCTGTGTGGTACCTTTTCCCGGAGCCACAGGCGATCCTAAGAGACTTTAGGGAAGAACATTGTTTATGCCCTGTTTTGGTGCTGGCATTTGCACTCCTGAGCTCGTTAAGATATTAATGATTTATTTAGTGTCTCTCAAAGCACCAAAGTGCTAAATACTGGCCTGCTGGATGGGGGAGCTTACTACAAGGGGGTGACACTTCTGTCTTGTCATCACCAGAACAGTCACTTTGTTTGAATGGATCTACCCCCTTTTCTTGACGGGCCCAGGTGTGATTAACTGCATGAGTTTTCATGGGCTGCCTAAGGTTGGGCCTGAAATCACAAAATGGAAGGAACTTGGCCAGCACGGTCATTAATTTTTTTTTTTAGAAGATGAGGTGTCTTTTGGTGGAATGAACAGTGTTCACAGGCTCTCCCAATCCATGTAACCGGCACACTTCTTATATTGATGTTATGTGCCTGGCTCCCAAAGGTCAGAGAACCAGCAGTGCCCAGCGCTGCTCCATACCAGGGTGGTCATTTCCAAAGGCAGAATGAATGTGAATGGCATCCTTGGGTAGCAGTTGGTCAGAGCTGCTTTGGAAGAGTGTCTGTCATAGCAGTGGGGAGGGTGAAAGAATGCACATTTCACATTTTACCAACAACGAGAAAAATCCGTTGACGTTTTGAAATGTTCTGAAGTGGAATGTGTTGCAGCCTTATAAGTTAATCACCCGGTTCTGGGGATGTTCAAACTCACTGTCTTTCCACTTGACGGCATTGTTTGAGGGGAGGGCAGAGGGAATGAGCAGAGAAGGCTGCATTCTCAGGGCTCCAGTTCTGAGATGCCATGAATCTCACACGTGTGAGTAGGACATGAACTTGCCCAATTGATGACTGACAGGAATCATTAAAAATACAAAACTCTTGCCCCCAAAATGCTGGAGCAGCTCAAAGACTCCACAGCTGGGCACACTGAGTACATTAATCATCGTCAATGTCCCAGAGAAGATCAACTTGTAAAAAGGGAGAGTTAGTGAATGAAATAAAGAAAAAATAACTTGGTGAAATTTGTTTTATTAGGTAGCAAGGATAATACGTGTAGGATATGGCGCTGACTGAAGAAAAAGGCAGCTGGTGAACAAATTTGCTAGTAATGGAGATCAAGACCTGGAGCTTCACAGAGAGCAAGCAGGCTGTTTGGATATTTCATGTTTTCTCTCTTTCCAAAAGTCAGCAATTTATACACTAACCTTAGCTTCATGGATATGACCATTAAAACTGATAAAGTTATATCATTTCTTGATATTATTTGATGGGAATGACAGGAAAGAGCATAATGTTTGGCAAATGTCACTGGTCATTTCAATTTTGTTTTTATTTTTAGTAGCATCATGGTAGTGATTAAGGAAACCAGAGTGATTTAACAGTGTGTCTCCAAGATTCAACTTTGTAAGCTATTATAATTTCTGTTGAATAAAGTTTTTGGAAGCAGTTCTTAATGAATTGTACATCTATATTTATGATGTATGTTTCTCTTTTCTTGTGATGAGAACTTTTAAATCTACTCTCGTAGCAACTTTCAAATATACAATACAGCATTATTAACTAGAGTCACCATGGTGTCTATGACATGCTCAAGGCTTATTTATTTTTTAGCTGGAAGTTTGTACATTTTGACAGCCTTCACCCATTTTGCCCATCCCCCCAACGCCCTGCCTCTGGCAACCGCAAACCACCAATCTGTTCTCTGTATCTATGAGTTCGGTGGGTTTTTTTTTCTTCTGTTTTATTTTTCTTTTCAGGTTCCACATATGAGTGAGAGCATACAGTATTTGTGTTTCTCTGTCTGACTTATTTTGCTTAGCAAAATGCCCTCAAGGTCCATCCCTGTTGTTGCAGATGGCAAGATTTCCTTCTTTTCTATAGTGAGCAATATTCCATTGTATTTATACACCACATTGTTCTTATCCAGTCATCCATCAGTGGACACTTAGGTTGTTTCCATATCTTGGCTACTGTAAATAATGTTGCAATGAACATGGGGGCACTTATATCTTTTCCAGTTAGTATTTTCATTTTCTTCGGGAAGTACCCAGAAGTGGAATTGCTGAATCATATGGTAGTTCTATTTTCAATTTTATGAGGAAACTCCATGCCGCACAGTGGCTGCACCAGTTTGGAGTTTGACTAGAAGTTGTATTACTTCTTTAGTGATTTTACTTGGTGTAACTAAGAATGAGAAATGCAAAATTGGAAGCCTAATCTTTCTTCCCTCATACTCAAAAGTATCTCTATACTTCCTTCCCCCAGAAAAAAAAGTTGACAACCTATACTGAATAAAATGAGTGCAGCATAAAGGGAAAGCAAAATGGATCTCACTTACTAGCAAATATATACTGAATTCATAGTGGCTATAAAATATATGGGCAGGTTTTTCTCCAGAAAAAAAGTTAAACAGAAGAGACCTTCGAACTATTGAATTAAAAAATCTGGATGGAAAACAACTGAGGTACCGGGGAAAATCATCAAACACCAACCCAATTGCTACTGAAATACTAAAAACTATTTTTAAAAACACTTTTCTATGTAAGAGTGCTGTAATGCATATTAAAAATTATTGTTAAAAGATAAAGCACAAGATAAAACCAGTGATGCCTGAACCCAGAGCAAGAGAATGCATGAGAATCTTATGGAGTCATTTTCTTAATGATAACAACAGTCATTGGGGTGGCTGAGTGTGTGTCACCTGCCAGACACCGGCCACCCACTTGACACGGATCGTCCATGCAACCCTCCCAGCAACTGTTTCTAAGCAGGCAACAGTCCTGATCTGAAAATCAGGAGGTGAGTCACACTGAAGTGAAATAATCTACCAAAGACCCCACGTGTTAGGGATTCTGGCTCCATTACACTTTGTGCTTAAATGAACAATCATGGGAGAAGAGTATCAGATGTATCAGTAGGAAGGTCGGGGCTGCGAATTATCCCTCAGATCATCAGTGGATGTCTAGCACCCAAGAAGAAAAATAAAACAAGAGCAAAACAAAACAAACAAAAACTTCAGTGCAGCTGCTGGAAGGAGGACGTTCAGAGATGGGGAAGCCAAGGAAGGCTTGGATTAGAGAAACCTGGGCCAAAATTCAGCTACTTCTTCTGAAGCCAAGAAGAAGTTGACATTGACTCTTCCTTTCTGAGTGTTTGATGGCTTTGGGGAAGGTGGAAATGCTATTTTGTTACATCATTCAATAGAGAGAGCCAATGTATGGTCATGGAGATCATTCTATACCTCACTGACCTATTTAGCTGTAGGAAGCCCCTCAGTCAGAAAAGTTTCCTCTAATTTTTATGTGTTGAAGCATTAAAGTTTCCAGTAGTATTATTTTTTCCTTTTGAGAGAGAGAGAGAGAGAGAGAGAGAAAGAGAGTGCACATGTGTGAGCTGAGGGGAGGAGCAGAGGGAGAGGGAGAGAGAGAGAGAATCTTAAGCAGCCTCCAGGCTCAGCGTGGAGCCTGAGGTGGGGCTTGATCTCATGACCCTGAGATCATGACTTGAGTCGAAATCAAGAGTTGGATACTTAACTATCCAGTAGTATTTTTTTTTTATTATTGAAGTGTAGTTGATATACAATGTTATATGAGTTTCAAATGAACAACATAATGGTTCAACAATTCTATACATTACTCAGTCATCATCATGAGAAGTGTCAGAACCATCTGTCCCCATACAGCATTATTAAATGTTATTTACTATATTCCTTATGCTGTACTTTTCATCCCTGTGACTTATTTTATAACTGGAAGTTTGTACTTCTTCCAGTAGTATTTTTAAGCTACTTAAAAAATAAATGTTTAGATACTTAAGATCATAAAAGAAGTGATAATACCCTCACTTTATTTTCATCTGGAGTATGGTAGGATGTAAGTGAAGTGCGTGTGGGGTCTGGAGTCAGAGTGCCTGGATATATATTCTGATTCCAACTCTTAATTGTTGGGCAAGTTCCCCACAACGCTGTCTTCGTGTCTTCAGCCAGAAAGTGGTGATAATAATCATTCTTGTTTTGAGGATTGGGAATATCTGGCACATTGCAAGCATGATAAATATTTCCTATTATTCTTATAATCAGTAACCTAGTGGTCACCTTAAAAAACTCTATTTGATATGTGAACACATTTCTCAGAAAGGAACATAGTATTAATTACTCAGAAATGATAACTAAAATATAACTCACCTTAATGTATTATAGGTATCCTGGGGAGAAATAGAACTCAAGTTTTTATCAATAAAAATTTAAGAAACCTGGGAGCATTGTCCTTTTAAGGTTTCTCTCTCAAACAGAGGAGGTGAGATGTGAGACCATCATTAATATAAATGATTATGGTCTAATCCATCTTCATATATTCAGAGTTAGGGTAGGATTTTAGGAAAGTGAATCATTCTCATAAAAATGAAATATCTTTTCATATCTAAAACTGCAGGAGCTCACGATTTAGCATAATGCCTGATTTAGAGACAAAATAAATGCTTTTTGAACTAAACAGTGCTTTCTAGACATGTAACTTCTACATTGCCATTTAAAAACACATCAGTAATCTTTTAGATCACAAGTGGATTATCTTCTGTCTTTCCACTGCAGCTATTATTCTTCAATTTATCTTATTGGGTCTCCAAAGGGGGGAAATCTGTAGCAAAAGGAAAAAGCAATTACTATATTTAAAGACATAGCCCTTCTCAAAAACAAAGAATTGTAAACTGACTCAAAATAGCTATAATCCTTTTAGTTATTTTACCAAGATTATTTTATTTTTTATTCAATTCAACTTCACTGTTATCTTGGGTAAGATGGTTTTGGCTGCAAGTAGCAAAATACACAGTTAAAACAAAGTCAGTCCCAACGTTGGTTATTCAGTGGCAAGATGACCCAAGGACACAGGATTTGGGGCATTCCCCTTTGCCGTCCTTATTGGCTTGTTCTGAGTGTCCTTCCAAGTTGCAAGATGGCTGACACGTTTTCTTGGTTTAATGATCTTGTCATCTCTTTAATCTCACCAAATCCAGAAAAGAACTTCCCACTTCTTTTTCTATGATTTCCATTTACCCTAACATCTTAGCAGTTCTGTTCCTGCCATTGATGGCAATGATCTTGTCTTTTCACTCTTTATTTTCTCTATGTGCCCACCAAATCATAAACATTTTCCTCAATTAAAAAACAAATCCTCGCTATCCAGTCTTATTGCCATTTTATTCTGTAATCTCTAATCTCACTACCTCTGTACTAGAAGCTGAGACAATCTTCTAGTTAATTATCCTGGCTTCCTTTTGCTCTATTAGATGCTTGCTTTCTAAAGTAAACAGGAAAAGAAAAACAAAATACCTTTCCAAATATTTGCGTGTTTTATGGTTTTATGATTTACAAGACTTTGGCCTAACTCAGTTCGTTTAATAAAGAGGAATGATGTAGGAATTATTAGGACCTGAATTTAGAGTTGGTAACACATAATTTAGGAGGGGGAGGATGGCTTCCCTGGATCAGCTGGCCAGGGGGTAGCCAGACATGAATTCAAACCTAGAAAGGCTGTGTCCTCCATATAGCTCAAAGAGGTCTTAAATAATGATGTGCTGCCTGAGTTTTTCCACATGATTAGTGTGTGTTTTATGTACTAGCATGTATTTTTTTTAATTGTCTAAATTTCCTTTGAGTCCCCTGAATAACTTTTAAAACATAAACATTATGAAGAATGGTGGGGTTTTTTCCAATTAATAAAAGTTTGAGCTTGAACCTTTGTTATGCATGCAATTATTTTGTAATGGGGTCTCAATTCCTTGTGGCCTGGTAATCCTAAATTCACACTTCTCCTAGCAACTATATCTCTAAAGAGTAGAATTGTCTATTCCAAACATTATAGATACTAAATGAAAATTAAAAATAAAAGCTTTTGGAAGTAGAAAAGAGCAAGTGCTCAGATTCTTATTATTCACACTTGGCGAGTGGAGAGGTAGATGCAGTAATGACCTAGGAGTTCCACTTAGTAATAGGATGGCCTGTGTGAACTTGTAAGGCAAGGTGTTCATTCTCACAAGTTTCTCCCCCAGCAACAACAGAGTAAGGCCGGGTCCCCACTCATTCTTACTGTGGAACCCATTTTACAAATGCAGGGTGGGGTGTTGAAATCAGTCCAAGACAATGAGAACAAAGGTGAAGTCACAAGCGTGTGAAGTGGGGCCTCCTCTTCTATTAAAATGTGTATTTGTTTAATTACTTAGTAAAATTATCTAATCTCAACATAATGATA